TAATATACAGTCTAACGCTCAGAAAGATTAAATCCATTACATAGAGGTGTCAACTATGATACACTGACTGACTGTCCTTAATTTAGTCCGATAATATACAGTCTAAACCTCAGAATGATTAAAGCCATTACATAGAGGTGTAAACTATGATACACTGACTGACTGTCCTTAATTTAGTTCGATAATATACAGTCTAAACCTCAGAATGATTAAAGCCATTACATAGAGGTGTCAAGCTTCATTATTCATTTCTTTTCTTTCCTAATGCTAAAAATAGAATGACATTCCTTTAAATCATTTTAATGCAATGTATCATGTAAAAGACGACTTTATTTAAATATCAAACTGCTACTGTATCATCTAATTTGGACGTCCGATTCAATAAGTAAAAGTTGCTAAAATCAATCATTATTTGCTAAAAGAAAAAAGGTGCCTTTCGCAACTTTTGCTAAAAGAAGTTTTGGTCTAGAGTGAGTGAGCACAGAAAGTCAGCATCAGATCCGCGTTATCACAAGGAGGCAAGCACCACCACAGGGGCTTGACGTTGTATAAAATTAGCTAGAAATACATATATATAAATTTTTCGCTAATTTTATCATACAAGTCTATACAAGCCCCTGGCTGTGAACATAACCTGTCTCCTGCATGCATACACACATGCAAGCACGCATACACTACACACACGGAGGCACATCTTTAAATGTTAGCTGTTAATAGGACAAAAGTAAACCATACCAAACCAACCCTGTCAAAATGTCAAAGTCTAATAATGTCCAAGTCTGGTGGAAGGGCCACAGAAAACTCGGGCTACTGTGATATATTTTGTGTTACGTTACCTCAGATACAATCATTTTTGGAGGTGGACCTTTTACCAAAAATTGATTTAAATCCCTAAAACGTGTAAAATTACTCTTTAGTTACACCACGGACTTAGATCTAATTCCGTGGTTACACCTCATTTTAGGTCACAAATAATCAGGTCCCTGTGGACTGCATGTCACCACAGGAGCCTGAAGTTCTGTCAATAATGAATAATAACAGTAATACAAAAGAAATACCTATAATATTAAGCATATTATAAGGACTCACACAACTAAATCAGCCAATCAGCAAGTGTTTCATACGTTTGTAGTTCCTATTTGAAATAAGTTCCGGCTAATAACTGGGCCACTGAAGGAGTTTAATAAGGAACTGATGACAGATTTTTAGATAAATGAAATGTTCAGGTATTTAACTTTTGAAAAATATATACTTTTGATATATTTCCATGTCTGTGTGCGGATTTGCACAGGGGCAAAATGTCTTGGGGCGTTTCTGTTTTGGGTCACCGGTTTTGCTTGTAAACCACCGGTTGTCAACTTCTTGGCGCTGTGACACTCCAATATGCCACTAAACCTACCAAAAAAAGTCATTTTGTGGCCTTTGCAAGGTATGTATTTATGAATCTAGACAGTTGTCACTAGTTTTGAACTTCAAATATTAAAGTTATTAGCTAAAATGTTTGGTAATAACATATAGTAAATGATTTAGTTGTGCGAGTCCTTTAAGGTAAATAGCCATGTGCTCAATGAACCTGACCTCTCACACATTTTCTGTGTGTTTCCAAACACTTTTTTTAAAATACAGCCACTGTTATTGGGTCTTAGCACATTTTGCTCAGTATGTGAATATATATATAACTTGATAAAACTTAATAATTGGGTTAAATCTGGGCTAAATATGGCTGTGCTAAAGCCAGTATAGTTGGACTGACCCTAATACTCAGGTTTTTATTAGGATTGTGTTCAATTTACTGAAATAATTTATCTGCATGTGTTTCAATAGTACTATTATGATCTGTGTACTAGCTTTTAGCACCTAAATCTTCATAGAACAGAAATATAGTGTGCTGTCCTGCACAATTTTCATCCCCCCCTCTCCCCCACCCTGTCCAACCACCTCTTCTCAGCCATTCTTAGGCCACTTCCCTCATTCAAATTACATTTTTATCTATGTTTAAAAGAAAGCAATGATTAAATTCTAGTTTAAAAACTCAATATCACTAAAAAGTTTCAAATTGAAACTTAAATAACCTGTTTCAGCATACCCCCATGTGTAAAAGTACACCACAGATTTTAGCACAAGTTACATAGCACATTATTCACACTTTTTAAAGCACAATTCAGCATTAAACACCATTTTATTCTTCGGTATAATAAATGTGGTCATTCCAAGTGTATGATAGTTGTTAGCTGGCTTCTGACTGAAGTTGTACTGTCATAGTTTCATATTCAGACCCTCCAGATTTGAACATGCTTTTTTTCATTTTGTCATAGGTTGAATGTCTCTACATAACAGTTATACCGTGGGCAACAAGACTATGAACAGCAAATAGCCCCTCGCCACCACAGAACAAGCTTTTACAAAAGTTGCACATGTGAGTATCTGTATGTGTATGTGTCATATATAGGTTTTTTGGCTAAATCCAACTTAAATTCCATTTTTTTAGTGAATTGCAGATTTATGGTTATTCCTGTCATAATATATACCTTCACCAACATCTTGTTTATTGATTTAATGTGTTTCTGTTGTGTGTTTACTCAGATAATCAACTGTTTATAGCATTACATCTCCCCTACCCCCAATATTCTCCCTGTAAAGTGCCGGCACCCCAGGGAGCAAGAAGTGCTATATGTAAGTATGTATAATTGATAGCTGATCAGTTGAGATGGATATCTGATAACCTTTTATGACTGGATATCTGATAACCTTTTATGACTCATGTTTTATGTAGAATTTTGGAGTTTTGTGTGAATTCTAAGTGTGTTTAATTGTCCAAATTCTATCAAATTTACTCAAATTAACTTTTGATTACTTAAGATACTGTAAAAATTACAGAAACAGAGTCACCAAGATTTCTTTTCAAAAATATGTGAGTGGTATGGGTAATAAATGTGTGTGCAAAATATGAAATTGCTGAGTGTGTGCTAAATTGGTGTGCTAGAGGTTCATGTTAAGTAAGTGAAATGAGAATTGTTTGGTGCTGACTCTGAATAGCACATGTATATCAGGGGCTATAACTTGGTTTTTCTTCATATCTTATCATTTTATTTCCACCAAATTTAACTATTTTACTCGGTTATGTATATACTTTCAAAAACTGACTTCATTTCAACATTTTAAAATGTAAAGTTTTCCTTTAAGGACTCACACAACTAAATCAGCCAATCAGCAAGTGTTTCATACGTTTGTAGTTCCTATTTTAAATAAGTTCCGGCTAATTACTGGGCCACTGAAGGAGTTTAATAAGGAACTGATGACAGATTTTTAGATAAATGAAATGTTCAGGTATTTAACTTTTGAAAAATATATACAGGGTTGCCAACTCTCACGGTGTGAGAAAAAATCTCGAGCATTCGTCACGCTGAGACGACCTTACTCACGCATAATCATGTCTCACGCCACGTGAGCCATAAATCTCACGGATTCGAAAATATTCTCCCTCTATCCCACGCGAAGCCATAAATCGATATTTTTTAGCTTGGGTCGTACAAAGGGGAATAACTCTTATTGCAACGTTGTGCTTTGGAAGTGAGCTGACGCGAGGTGTCTCTTTACATCCAGTGGAAACGAATGTAAATATATCGTAAGGTGAGTTGTTTTCACAATCGTCTGCTGGGTAACCGAACTACTCGTAGTGAAGCAGACGTAACACCTATCAATCAATCAACCAATCAAGTTTTCACTCGTAAACTTAATATTGAACGTACCTATCGCACAGAAAAAGAAAGTTTTACTAATAATATTGTCGTGTATTAGGAAAGATTGTTTTTAGGTCGGGCCTTCACAAATATTAAGAGAAAACGATTCTTGTAACACGAACAGACTGTCGCTAATGGCTGATGAAAAGTTCGAAGTAATTTTTTGCAGTAAAGTGGCATATATTATTTAACACACCAGAGCCTTGTAGTAATAAACAATTTTAATCTGATGCGATGAAAAAATAACGAGTTTCGGGAAGTGCTTTAGCATGTTGGATAGACATAGTACGTAGGTAGTCCAATACATAATCATGCAACAAATCGGATTGCAAACGTGGTATAAATGCTAAGGGTCTAACTGTTATTTGTTGCTTAGGATAGTAGCCAGAAGTAATTGTAAAATATTTTTCCACTGTCAAATTATCATATTTTTTTTATCTTTCATGTTATGAAGGGTGGAATCGTTACAAGAAAGGCCCTTGATTATATAATGTGTTGCATTTCTGATGTCAGGTTTTTTTTATGTTAATCTTTTATATATCTGCAAAAAATGTTTTGTTTTATTTTCTTGAAGATCTTGAAGTGAAAATATCAACAATGCAGATGTTATAGTAGTCAGAGAAAGCCAGGATTTGTTCGATTCATTTGTAAATGTTATCTTAACACCCAAAACGAGGTTACGCTGCGACGCCGTCAAAAGTCTCACATATTGTAAAACCCAGTGTAGTCCGAATTATTCTGACGTTTTATCGACTTTTTTTCATATCGGTCTGTCGTCGATAGGGGCAAAATGTTTGGGGGCGTTTCTGTTTTGGGTCACCGGTTTTGCTTGTAAACTTCCGGTTGTCAACTTCTTGGCGCTGTGACACTCCAATATGCCACTAAACCTACCAAAAAAGTTATTTTGTAGCCTTTGCAAGGTATGTATTTATGAATCTAGACAGTTGTCACTAGTTTTGAACTTCAAATATTAAAGTTATTAGCTGAAATATTTGGTAATAACATATAGTAAATGATTTAGTTGTGCAAGTCCTATAGGTATTTTTTTGTATTACTGGTATTATTCATTATTGACAGAACTTCAGGCTCCTGTGTTGTCACCAACATCGGAACCTAAGCTTACAAATGATCGTTTTAGATACAGTACAGTACAATGTGGGGAAACAATTCCAACAGCTGCCTAATCCACGTCATACACATACAGTTTATATCAAGCATGTTGCTGCACAACAAAACCAGTGTCAAAGAAAAGAGTTTCACCTGTGTTGTTGAATATAATTCAAGCCCAGCATCTTCCATCGCTCTACACTCTGAAGGCAAGTTTACTTTTTCTCGCCAATCAAAAGCTTCGATACAAGTAGGCCTAACACCCAATCAAATTCCTGGACACATTACACAAACAATATCGTTTCCGGTTTACTTTCGTTTCGTGTGAAATGTCACGTACGCATCTCACTAAATCAGAGTACGTCTCTGACTAAATTAAGTGTAACGTCGAAATCAAAGTTGATCAATTGTAACCAAAATAAACTTACCCATACGTTTAGTTTTGCTACATGCGTTACAAATGCATACTCAGATATTCATTGAGCTTCATGTGAGCAATGAAATGCTGCAGTAGTCTCCCTTCAACCACAACCTGTGACCACAACGTAATTTTAAGTAAATATTGAGGTTTATGCACGAATATGCTGGAATTTATTTATCGGCATGTTTCGATACTTTGCCCCGTTATGAATCAGAAGAAAAAAGTGAAATAAATCGAATTCCCGGGCGCGCGGAAATCTCCCTGGACACTCATTCCTCCCAAATAGGCATTTCTATCGACGTATTTCGGTACTGTCTACTGTTACGATTGGCCTTAATTTTTTTTGCATACAGATAGGTAAGTGAATGAAATTTATGAATCAGAAGAAAAAGGTGAAAAAATGAATAAATAACGAATTCCTGGGCGCGCGAAAACCTCCCTGGACACTCATTCCTCCCTGGACGAATCGAACACCAAAAGAGCGGTTATTGTGTCCTGACTTTCATTTTTATACGCCCGTCAAATTTGACGGGAGGCGTTGTCCGTCCATCCGTCCGTCCGGCGTAAACTTTTGTTTGTCCGGCAATCTCCTCCTACATTTTTCGACCGATCACTTTGAAACTTGGTATACATTATAATCATAGAATTTTAGTTCGACAATTTTTCCAAAGGTTATTGCCCTTTGTTCATTTCAGTATTTGATTTTTGTCCGGAAATCTCCTCCTACATTTTTCGACCGATCTCTTTGAAACTTGGTATACACTATAATCATGATATGAAGTTGTGTATCCCTTAAAAACATTTTGTTTCGACAATTTTTCCAAAAGTTATTGCCCTTTGTTTATTTCAGTATTTGATTTTTGTCTGGCAGTCTCCTCCTACATTTTTCAACGGATCTCTTTGAAACTTGGTATACATTATAATCATGAGGTGAAGTTGTGTCTCTCTCCCCTAAAAGAATTTGTATTAGACAATTTTTCCAAACGTTATTGCCCTTTGTTCATTTCAGTATTTGATTTTTGTCCGGCATTCTCCTCCTACATTTTTCAACGGATCTCTTTGAAACTTACTAGGCTAAATAATCATGATATGAAGTTGTGTTTCCTTGAAAAGAATTTTGATTCAACAATTTTTCCAAAAGTAATTGCACTTTGTTCATTTCCGTATTTGATTTTTTTTGCCAGGAGATCTCCTCCTACCTTTTTGACAGACTTCTTTATAACTTAGTAGGCTAAATAATCATGATATGTTGTTGTGTTTCATGTCTTGAAAAGAATTTTGATTCGACAATTTTTGAAAAGGTTATTGCCCTTTGTTCATTTCAGTATTTGATTTTTAACCGGAAATGTTCTCCTACATTTTTATAGCATGTCAGCTAACTACTCTTTGAATGATGCAGATCTTATTTTAATGTAAGAAAGTATATAACACTATATGGCATTCGACCGGCGTATATTGTTCTGCCCCGCGGTACTCTTGTTAAGTCTTATACTATTGTCAATTGGAAAACTCTTCTGGGGATAAACAAATTTATTTATTATACCCGTGTTGGCATATTATACCTGTTAAGATTAGAGAGGCTCCCAGTGTCCACGTGTACATTACGTAGATCCTATATTTATCGTTTACATATAAATTTCTAATCACCTGGAAAAGATTGAAGTCAGTCTTTTAGCCGGAACAGCGAGTAAACGATATCTCAGAAAATAAACATACAGGTTTGTACTATAATAAAATCAGGGAGACCGACACATCCATCCTTTACGAAAGCCAAGTAACGCGTTAGGCGAGTAACTGATCAACCATGGTAGAATAACATTAAATGTGAATATAAACCTTTTTTCGTAAACAAATTCACAGAATCATGTTTTCAAATCGGATTCAGCAACAAAGAAATGTGTGTGCTCCTGTCGCAAACTCGGTAAGAATGAGAATGTAGTCATTGAGAAGAAGAGTGAAATCTATGCACACCTTTGGACGGGAAAAGTGCCCCTTTTTATTACTGTTTTTACATAAATTTGCACATTTCATTCTTAAAACCAATTACTTGCATATATATGCAAGATACTGGTTTGAAGAGTGAAAAGAGACCAAAGTAGTTTTTAAAAAATCGTAATGGAAAATTCTCCATCTGGAATTATGGAATATTAATGCGTATAATATATAAGTGTGAGAAAAGAGAAATAAGGGAAACTCTAGATACTTTAGGGAAAGGAGAGATAATCAGAGATGTATGCCGAGCAGCAGTTTATCTAGTTGTACATATGTAAAAACTTATAGTTTCTTGTTGGTACTACAATGTATGTAAAGTGAGACTATAATGTTGACAAACCAGTGATAGCTCAGACTAGGTCTATAATATTTTTTCATATTTTCCACCCATTGCCTTAACGTAACTGTCAACTCTTCCTCATTAAGAGAGAGCTCGAGACTCCCTCATTTTGACCAAAATTTACCAATCTCCCTCGAAACTCCCTCATTCAAGTCCAACTCACACAAACTCAAAATCTACACCCAGTGGTCAAATGTTCCCATAAGTTACTGGAGGGTGTGTAAAATGATCATAACAGGTGTGTCTGAATCAAATAAATGCTTTTTCATCGGAGTTATTTTGATACAAACAAAAGGAAAGATAAATTGAGCGAAGTAGTTTCAGTCGCATTACACGCACGTTCTCACTCATTGGAATCACAGGGACCTGACAATTTGTTACAGCTAAATTTGGATCTAAACTAAGGTGTTCAGAGTAATTTTACATTTTGGGGGGCTTTAGATCGAATTTCGGTAAAAATGACACCCCCAGTGACCATATGCATTGTATACGACTTTACCGAAAGTTCAAATATAGCTGTAACAAATTAGCAGGTCCCTGTGGTTGACACCTATGCCTTTACCCCGAGAGTTGTATTTTGCGACCTTATAATGACCACCAAGATACCTTGTAATGCACAAATAGTACTTAATTATCTACCCTTCTATAGATCTCTGTGCGATTCAAGTTTCTCCATTAGCAGACGGTGTAGGGTATACGAAGGCGATCAGTTCTGTGAATTATTGTCTCCCTTACTCTATAGAACAAAAAGGTATTTAGGGTTGGCAGTTATATAATCATTTGTCACACTAAAAGCAACTTATTTGTGGATTTTTTTTGTTATATTCTGGTCTTTTAAAAAGTCAGTATTCTATTTTTTATTACTTCAAAATATGTGAGATAAATAAGCGCATTAAATGTTTAGCTGTTGCTATATCTTTTTCTAAAATAGACCACGAATACACTTTGTTTTATACAAATACTGTTTAATTACTTGAATCATTTCTTATCTATTCTTCTTATATCTCTTTGCGATCAACATGACCAGTTTAGATCATTTATAATATACAGTAATATGTACTAAGGGCATCAAACATTCTGAACAAATATGAATGATTGTCTCCCTTCCTCTGTTACATGTACTAATAGAGTGTTCTCAGTCGCCATGTCATCAATCAGTTTAACTCATTTGTTCGCACCATAAGTGGCCCAAACTGGTTTTTCATGTCTACAATTACGTTTTTTATTAAACCATATAAGAGTGTTTAGCATTGCCACTTCATCGTGTCTTACATCCATCCCTTCAACTGGTGTTTGCATTTTTTTACAATATTTGCAAGTACTTTTTCAACAAATTGTTATTAATGAGATGTTTACCTCCTTTTTGAACGATGCTAATCATTTGCCTTTGATCTTTATATTCGCCTGACCCATCTTATTTTCAAAGCTTCTATATATGAAACATTTAAAACAACAGAAGTGAATCCATTCTTTCAAACTATTTTGGATTTTATAATATGTATTTTTATCTAAAGTTTTCGAAGCTGCTTTGAGTGTAATGCTATATTCTAAGTCATTACATTTTCTATAAAAATAAGTTTGATACAAAGCTGGCATAGTAAATGCATACAATTATATATGCACACCCTAGAATTACAATTTGTCATCATCATCCTCATTCCCATTCATTCTCACTCCTCCTCCTCCCCCTCCTCCTCCTCCTCCTCCTCCTCATAATCATCATCATCATCATCATCATCATCATNTCCTCCTCCTCCTCCTCTCCTCCTCCTCATAATCATCATCATATCATCATTATCATCATCATTCCCACTCATCATAATCATCATCATCATCAGCAGCAGCAGCAGCAGCAGCAGCAGCAGCAGCATCATAATCATCATCATCAGCATCATTATCATCATCAGCATCATTATCATCATCATCATCATTATCATCATCATTCCCACTCATCATCATCATCATCAGCATCATCATTCCCACTCATCATTATCATCATCATCATCATCATCAGCAGCAGCAGCAGCAGCAGCATCATCAACATCATCATCATCATCATTATCATCATCATTCCCACTCATCCTCATCATCATCTATAACAACAACAAAGTTATACCAATGTAGCAGCATCGTCAAACAGCAGAATCACAAAGACGTTTTCAAGAAAGTATAATTCTGAATACGGGTTTTTGGATCATTCAAAATTATACATTACCATTCTCCAAGAATATCACTACGCTTTGTTATTGCTTCATTTTCCATTTGTATTTTAAAGCGCGATAAGAGATATGAAGTAAAGCGTGAACAAATTCACATAATTGTGTTTTTCAAATTGAATTCAGCAACAGAGCAATTATTATGCTTCTGGCCCAAACTTGGGAAGAATAGTTAGGGGCATATTGATAAGTAGGCTGAAATCTGTGCACATGTTTAAATTGAAACATCATTCAGATTTACTACGTAAAAGTGACAACGTTGATTGTGAAAGACAAAAGAACCCAGTGATTTGAAGTGTATCCTGAACGGAAATAGTAATGAATACATCATTTATCAATATGATCAAAATGTCGAAAGCGCATAAAAAAGGCTGTGACGTCACAAGTTCAACGACTGTGCCATACAGTGTCATAGAGCGAATTAACATCAGTTTTGAGATTACACTTTAAATTTTATGCTACATTTTTACGCAGTGGTAAATTATATTTATCTCGAGAATATATTTGAATAATGTGATTATTTTTTTTATACATTTTGGTTCAATAATGAATATCATCTCGATCCAACCCTTAGCCTTAGGTGTGACGTCACACCTGTGTTCAGTTCGGACAACAGGATGCCACAACTTTGTACCTGTGTCCATGTATACGTATGACGTCAAAGAGATGTCAGCAGGTGGCAAAGGGGTACCTGATGTTAGAACAATGTACTTAGATTATGTGTTTTCCAAATTTCCATTTAACAACAATGTCCCCAGGCTAGAAAACGGGAAAATGCATAAGGAGCGATTTCAAGGTAAATATGCATAAATGAATTGCGTAAGTTGATCATAAACTAATACAGTTCATAGATACAACCTGTTCATTAAACCTTATTACAAAACTTATTTCCATGACCATGGATACAGTTACATGTTACTTACATGTTTGCAGTGTACCAAGGGACAATATAAACGAACTTGCCATAATCACATGCAATATAAAATATAAAGTATAAAGATGAAATTCATAAAATTGATGATGCTGTTTTTCAGGTGTTTTTAGTCCTATCATATTTAAGGGGAGGTTTTTCTATAGAGACTAGGAAACGAAAGTGAGAAGGCAGAGGAATGTGAACAAAATGCATGGATAAGGAATAAACATAACTTTAACCGTATCGTTGAACTCAGAGTCTCGACACGAAAGATTAAGATGGATATTGGAGAGATGTATTGATTGAAATGGGAAGTCTGCAAGATGGAACGGTGGAGGTGGATGTAGTGGGGACGGAGAGAGGGAGTTGGAGATGGAACGATGGAGATGGATGTAGTTGGGATGGAGAGAGGGAGTTGGAGATGGAACTATGGAGATGGATGTAGTGGGGACGTAGAGAGGGAGTTGGAGATGGAACAATGGAGGTGGATGTATTGGGGACGGAGAGAGGGAGTTGGAGATGGAACGTTGGAGATGGACGTAGTGGGGACGGATAGAGGGAGGTGGAGATGGAACGATGGAGGTGGATGTAGTGGGGACTGAGAGATGGAGTTGGAGATGGAACGGTGGAGATGGATGTAGTTGGGACGGATAGAGGGAGGTGGAGATGGAACGATGGAGGGGGATGTAGTGGGGACGGATAGAGGGAGGTGGAGATGGAACGATGGAGGTGGATGTAGTGGGGAATGAGAGAGGGAGTTGGAGATGGAACGATGGAGTGGAGGTGGATGTAGTGGGGACGGATAGAGGGGGTTGGAGATGGAACTATGGAGATGGATGTAGTGGGGACGTAGAGAGGGAGTTGGAGATGGAACGATGGAGATTGATGTAGTGGGGACGGAGAGAGGGAGTTGGACATGGAACGATGGAGATGGATGTAGTTGGGATGGAGAGAGGGAGTTGGAGATGGAACGATGGAAGTGGATGTGCTCGGGACGGAGAGAGGGAGTGGGAGATGGAACGATGGAGATTGATGTAGTGGGGACGGAGAGAGGGAGTTGGAGATGGAACGTTGGAGATGGACGTAGTGGGGACGGATAGAGGGAGGTGGAGATGGAACGATGGAGGTGGATGTAGTGGGGACAGAGAGAGGGAGTTGGAGATGGAACGGTGGAGATGGACGTAGTGGGGACGGATAGAGGGAGGTGGAGATGGAACGATGGAGGTGGATGTAGTGGGGAATGAGAGAGGGAGTTGGAGATGGAACGATGGAGCTGGATGTAGTGGGGACGGAGAGAGAGAGTTGGAGATCGAACGATGGAGGTGGAAGTAGTCGGGACGGAGAGAGGGAGTTGGAGATGGAACGTTGGAGATGGACGTAGTGGGGACGGATAGAGGGAGGTGGAGATGGAACGATGGAGGGGGATGTAGTGGGGACGGAGAGAGAGAGTTGGAGATCGAACGATGGAGGTGGAAGTAGTCGGGACGGAGAGAGGGAGTTGGAGATGGAACGGTGGAGATGGACGTAGTGGGGACGGATAGAGGGAGGTGGAGATGGAACGATGGAGGTGGATGTAGTGGGGAATGAGAGAGGGAGTTGGAGATGGAACGATGGAGGTGGATTTAGTCGGGACGGAGAGAGGGAGTTGGAGATGGAACGGTGGAGATGGACGTAGTGGGGACGGATAGAGGGAGGTGGAGATGGAACGATGGAGGTGGATGTAGTGGGGACTGAGAGATGGAGTTGGAGATGGAACGGTGGAGATGGATGTAGTTGGGACGGATAGAGGGAGGTGGAGATGGAACGATGGAGGGGGATGTAGTGGGGACGGATAGAGGGAGGTGGAGATGGAACGATGGAGGTGGATGTAGTGGGGACGGACAGAGGGAGGTGGAGATGGAACGATGGAGGTGGATGTAGTGGGGAATGAGAGAGGGAGTTGGAGATGGAACGATGGAGATTGATGTAGTGGGGACGGAGAGAGGGAGTTGGACATGGAACGATGGAGATGGATGTAGTTGGGATGGAGAGAGGGAGGTGGAGATGGAACTATGGAGATGGATGTAGTGGGGACGTAGAGAGGGAGTTGGAGATGGAACAATGGAGGTGGATGTATTGGGGACGGAGAGAGGGAGTGGGAGATGGAACGATGGAGATTGATGTAGTGGGGACGGAGAGAGGGAGTTGGAGATGGAACGGTGGAGATGGACGTAGTGGGGACGGATAGAGGGAGGTGGAGATGGAACGATGGAGGTGGATGTAGTGGGGAATGAGAGAGGGAGTTGGAGATGGAACGATGGAGTGGAGGTGGATGTAGTGGGGACGGATAGAGGGTGTTGGAGATGGAACTATGGAGGTGGATGTAGTGGGGACGTAGAGAGGGAGTTGGAGATGGAACAATGGAGGTGGATGTATTGGGGACGGAGAGAGGGAGTGGGAGATGGAACGATGGAGATTGATGTAGTGGGGACGGAGAGAGGGAGTTGGACATGGAACGATGGAGATGGATGTAGTTGGGATGGAGAGTGGGAGATGGAGATGGAACTATGGAGATGGATGTAGTGGGGACGGAGAGAGGGAGTTGGAGATGGAACGATTGTGATATGGAGATGAGAGATGAAGAGTGATGGAAATGGTGAGATTGAAAGAACGAGTAACGGAGATGGAGAGATGAGATGGAGAGAAAGAAAAGAGATAGATTTGAAGACGGAGACGGAAAGAAATCTTGGATGGCGATTTGAAGATGAAGAGAGGTTAGGAGAGAGAGAAAAGTGGAGAGGTTTTCTCTCTGACCTTCAATGTGTCTGTGGCCTCCAGAAACAATGGAGTAAAGTTGATGCGTTGACGTGCTTACGGAAACCATCTCTAGTCCAATATCTTTTTGCTGGCATTCACTTTCCCCTTGAACAGGGTTTTAATTTTTTAACGCTACGTAAAAAATCGAATGCTTCCAGACGTGTATGTACATTTCAACAAGGGCGCAATGACATTTCAACTGATCTGTTTTCCCATTTGACGTCACCACTGGTATATGTTTTATTTGAATTACGTCATTACTGCAGAGCGAGTCTGTGGCAGTATTGATTCTGTATCTAAAACCTTCATGGGCACCAAGGTTTCAGCGACTGCATTTGAGGATTGGATATGTTTATGCTGTTGCTCTTATTCCAGTAAAAACCAACATGGGAGAATAGCTGCAGCTACCCCAATAAGATTCGGCCAGCATAGCGTAACACCAATTCAAAAGGGAAAGCTGTTCGGGATGGTCCTGATGTACGCATTACTTACATTTATATTTCTCTTCTATTCCTCCTAGTCTAGTACTATATTGTGATAACAATAATACTTTAAAATGCAGTTTTGTATACAGAGCTATTTATTTACTTAAGTATTAGAACAAAACTTGGATTATAAAAGACAGTGGTAGTACATGCATTTCAGCATTCCCCAATGGTTCTAGATATTGGACAACCAGTCAGGATACGTCAGACCCCATTAGCTTAGAGTTAACCAGTGGTTAGGGGGAAATTTCAAATAATGAATACACCATAATAAAAAAAATCTTATATCATTTTCAAAATTGTTATACATTAGCATATTATTGAGACAAATCAGAATAATGTGTTTTGAGGATTTAGTTTGCATTGGAAGCCCTTGCTTCTTATTGGCAATAATTTGAATATTTCAATAACCACTGGTTAAACATTTACCGACCTTTGAGCACCATGGATTGCTAACATTTATTGAAAACTCAATAGAGTCACCACGCTAACGAACCCTTTTATACATGAAGTTGACGTTCGTTTATGTTTCAGAGCATCACCCCGGAGCTATAACTGCCCATGGCCGTTTTCGTTTAAACGGTCAAACCGGTCGGACCACTGTTGTTCGTTTATTAAATAAGGTCGGACCTAGTAATCTGATGCTGCTTTCAGGCGACTCTCTACAAAGCTTTGCAAGGCCTGCATAAACATTTGCAGGTCCGCCAGGATTTATACCGGAAAATGTTACATTTATAAACGGTCAAACCGGTTGTTCCGCATAAACGAACAGGCCCCAGGTTATACCGAAGGAAGATGAAGAGCCCGTATGTATTATCCTATACCAACTGGTGATTTGAAGAAAATGAAATAAACGTATTGGTGTTGTGTCATCACCTCCGTTGATTTAAAACTCTTAAGCCAATTCACAAATGACAAACCCATCGAAAGTTTTAAAATGGAAACGTTGCTTACGTAGGAGCTATTGATCGTGTGCCGTAAGCGGCTGTGCACTCCCAAGCAATTGTTCGAATATTTAATACAGACTTTGAATGTCTTGGAGTACTATGCTTAACGTATATAACCTACATGTTGTAATTCCTAAGGAACAATACAAATTTGGTTTAGCATTGTAATACTATAATATCTGATAACACGTGACTTATTGACACTACAGTATCTCTGATAACACGTGACATGTAGACACTACAGTATATCTGAAACACGTGACTTATAGACACTACAGTTTATCTGGTAACACGTGCCTTATAGACACTACAGGGGCTGACAACACGTGACTTAGAGACACTACAGTATCTCTGTTAACACGTGACATACAGTTGTGGGATCGCCCAACGTTACACGATGTGCGGTGTGCGCACGATGTGTGCACGGTGTGTGAACGATGTGTGCACGATGTGCGAACGATAAAAAATTGGGCGATCATATCTTGCGCACATTTGTGTGCACGATGGACGATCGTTGTGCGATAACAATCGTGGTTGGTGTAAATTGAGGAATGCCTTAACAATATATACGGTTTCGTGTTTAAACATATAAACCTTGATTTTAACGAATGTTTCTATATTCTACCTACACCTATACACTTATCTTTATATCTATACTTTCTTAAATTTAGCAATTGTGTTTTCGGTATTTTTTAAACGACCTTAATCGACACCTGTGAAATCACAACACAGTCCCGTATACAGGTAAACATAGCCACTAGCCGTCTTCATGTACCTGGACGGTAGTTTTCCCCCGCCCGGGGCGCTTACGTATTTCGTCGGGTAGGGCCAGGGGTGTGAAAAGACAGGTGAAGGGGAGCTATAGGCAAACCGAATGCAAATAACAAATACTAAACGTCCAGCTGTGTTTTCATTACGGTCATACAGTATCGCATATAAGCTCTATGTGTCAGGTACAGGCCAGGTCAAACCCCGATAACTCATCAAATTGTTATTTACATATTCTGTTTCCTTGGTGTGAAACCCATTCTTGACAGTCTTACGGTCACTGTATTGCTGTGTTACACGCATTGTAAAACTGTACATAATCGTCATTACTGTGATGAGAAATTACAATAATACATATAGTTTTCATTATTGCATACGACCTTCCGTATTTTTTTTTCATTCCGTAATATTGATCTACAAATTGTACCCAATCACACAGTTGTGCGGAGAGAAGCGTACAACGGGGCGAACGATTGTTAAATCGCACAGTTGTGCGCATCATGTTTGGACGATGTGCGGACGGTGTGTGAACGATGTATGCACGGTGTGCGCATGATATTTTTGGTGCGCTGTGCGGTCACACAACTGTATATACACTACAGTATCTCTGATAACACCTGACATACGTATAGACACTATAATATCTGATAACACGTGGCTTAATGACACTACATAATCTCTGATAACACGTGACATATAGACACTACAGTATATCTGAAACACGTGATTTATAGACACTACAGTATCTGATAACACGTGAGTTATAGACACTACGGTATCTCTGATAACACTTTACTCATAGACATTATATTATCTCTGATAACACGTGACTTATAGACACTACAGTATCTGATAACACATGACATATATACACTACAGCATCTCTGATAACACGTGACATACTTATAGACACTATAATATCTGATAACACGTGACTTATTGACACTACAGTATCTCTGATAACACGTCACATGTAGACACTACAGTATATCTGAAACACGTGACTTATAGACACTACAGTTTATCTGATAACACGTGAGTTATAGACACTACAGTATCTCTGATAACACGTGACTTATAGACACTACAGTATCTCTGATAACACTTGACTCATAGACATTACAGTATATCTGATAACACGTGACTTATGGACATTATATTATCTCTGATAACACGTGACTTATAGACACTACAGTATCTGATAACACGTGACTCATAGACATTACAGTATATCTGATAACTCGTGACTTATGGACATTATATTATCTCTGATAACACGTGACATATAGACACTACAGTATATCTGATAGAACGTGACTTATAGACACTAAGGTTTCTCTGATAACCCGTGACTTATAGACACTAAGGTATCTCTGATAACACGTGACTCATAGACATTACAGTATATCTGATAACACGTGACTTATAGACACTACAGTAAATCTGATAACACGTGACTTATATACAATACAGTATATTTGATAACATGTGAATTATAGACACTACAGTATCTCTGATAACACGTGACATATATACACTATAGTATCTCTAATAACACGTGACTTATAGAAACTACGGTATCTCTGATAAAACGTGACTTATAGACACTACGGTATCTCTGATAACATGTGACTTATAGACACTACAGTATCTTTGATAACACGTGACTGATAGACACTACAGTATATCTGATAACACGTGACTCATAGACACTACAGTATCTCTGATAACATGTGACTTATAGACACTACAGTATCTCTGATAACACTTGACTCATAGACATTATATTATCTCTGATAACACGTGACTTATAGACACTACGGTATCTCTGATAACATGTGAATTATAGACACTACAGTATCTGATTTCACGTGACTTATAGACACTACAGTATCTGATAACAAGTGACTTATAGACACTACAGTATCTCTGATATGATAAAACGTGACTTATAGACACTACGGGATCTCTGATAACATGTGACTTATAGACACTACAGT